TCAGGCTCTCGAACTCTGAGCTAATGTACTCTTTATTTCAGTAAATCAGCACCTTGGTTGTTCAGGTATAGTAGTGGGGATGGAAATATCATAGTGAAATTATTTATATGTTATCTTTCAAAAAGTGAGTCAGTGTTGATGTCAAACTTGGAGCTATATACCCAATTTCCTCTTTTTTACTATATGCATGTGGCGTTGTATCAGGGATTGGATTATTGATGTGATGGATCAATTTGAATCTTTATCTGAATTACAAAGGGTACCTAAAGTGAAGAGAGAACTAGCTATTTACTAAAATAACAGTTAGTATTAGTCAGTCTTTACTGAGCATACACAATGTACAGGTTATGATATAAATGCTGCAGTCTAAAAGTTAGAGTGCTAAAATATAATGTCAAAACATTTTCTGTAAGGTACCCTTTGCATCAAGGCATATAATCTTCCTGATTTTAATTCCATATCTAATGGATTCATATAGTTAATAAATGTGTTTTAAAATATAGTTGAATAAAAATTGCATGTGTTTGCTTTTATTCAAAGCCTCTTAATAATATAAGAAAATGAAATTGTTCTCTAAGCTTTTTTTTCAGTAAACACGTTTTTAAGAAAAAAGAAAAACTTTATATTTTAAACTTAGTGTCCTGTAAAGTCCTGCTTTTAGTATGTGCTCTCAAAATTGAATTGCTTGTCAAATTTCCATTAAGCTGAAGGTGAAAAATTAATGAACCACTTACTTCAGATATTTCAAAACTAATGCAAGTGTATTAGTCATGCAGCACAACAAATCAAAGATTTGGGGATGTTCAATTATCGTTTTGGGTTCACTCATATTTAACTTTTAAATGCATTATTTCATATGCTTAATAGAGCATTTTAGAGAAAAAAGGAATCCAGTTATTGATTTTTTTTTATTCACAGGTAAATATATCTCAAATGATTTTATTTATAGAAATACTTACCCCCCCATGTCCCCCTCCCACACACAAGTAACTTTAGAGCAAAGTTAATCAGTGAGTTGATAGGGATGTATGAGTTTTGAAAATCTGTGTAACATGCCTGCTGCGGGAGAGTAATTAGCTCAGGAGAAAGCAGGAATATATAGCAAGCATGGGATTAATAGAATTATAATTTTTCAGTTGTATCTCTGCTCCATTTTCTAGGCATTCAGAAAACAGTAAAATAGAATCATTGTAACTATTTTTCATAGAATTGTGATTCTTTTATTTTTCCTGTAATTATTGAACTCCTGTCATGTTCCTGGCAATGTGCTAGGCATTGAGCATCACACAATGGGGTAGAAGACTTGGTCCTTGTCTTGAAGAAATTTAAGGTTTAGAGGGAAATACAAAGTGTTTTTACCCAGTGGTAATGTTAATTAGAAATGGCAGGCACTGCAAAAAAGGTAGCGATATAGCATATAGAGCTGAGGGTTTCTGAGAAATCTTTACAGTGACTTGTGAGTTGGGCCTTGAAGGAAGTGGATAGTTAGACATGTGCAATGCATAAGTAGAGCAAGGGAAGTGGAAGGAATGACTTAAGTGAAACATAGAGGATATAAATCATAGTATGTAGGAGGACAGCTTAAATTTTAGTGTAAGATGTATGGAGTGGAAGAATGGCAAATAATGTTGAAAATATAGGGTTTGAGATTGTGAGGGGCTTTGCACAGCAAGCTAAAGGGTTGAATATTTCAACTTGGGAGAGTTCAAATCATACAACATTTTAAGAAGTTTCATTTTCTGTTGGGAATGTGTCAGCACGTAACATCCACAAAAAGTTCAAAATAACAGATTGCATGTTTCTCCTAAATACTACAGTAGACCTCCCCCATCCTCAGGGGATATGTTCCAAGACCCCCAGTGGATGCCTGAAGTCATGGATGTTACTGAACCCTATATATACTATCTTATTTTGCTATACATACATACCTATGATAAAGTTTAATCTATAAATTAGACACAGTAAGAGATTAACAATAACTAATAATATAATAGCACCATGATAACAATACTCTTTAAGAAAAGTTAAATGAATGTGGTCTCTCTCTCTCTCTCTCTCTCTGATAACTGATCTGCTAACCAAGATGGCTACTAAGTGACTAGCAGATGAGTAGTGCATACAGTGTGGATATGATGTACAAGAGGATGCGTCATGTCCTGGGCAGTGGTGAGTGGGTTGGTGAGAGATTTCATTATGCCACTCAGAACAGTGCACAATTTAAAATTTATGAATTTTTTATATCTGGAGTTTTCCATTTAATATTTTCAGACCACAGTTGACTGTGGGTAGCTGAAACCTCGAAAAGTGAAACCATGGATAAGGAGGGACCAGTGTATTTCATTGTCTCATGTATAGTAAAAGTTTTGAAGGTCATGGCTGAGGAAGAAATTGCATGCTGGGAGAAGCACAGTGAGATGGCTATACCAAGGCTTCCCAGCTGGTGTGCTGAAGCACACTGTTTATGCCTTGAGATATTTATCACTATGACTCCAGGTGTAGCCTAGAGCAGCATACTCAGCACTAGTCACTTGTGGCTGAGAGCAATTTCTTTGTGGTCTGAAAACCCCCTGTCGTCCTCAGCAAGCTATACAGCTACTAGCATCTTCTGTGTGAAATAGGACCTGGTTCGTGGGCATGCAACCTGTATAGTCTCAGGGCCCCCACTTAGAAGGACCCACACTTGGTGCAATGCTCTGCTATTGCTATGTTGAAAATGTTTATACTTTTTGACTAAGAAGTTCCATATTGCCACTGTGCTCTGGGCCCTGCCAATTATACAGCCAGTCTCGGTATTATAACCTGAAAATGATTAGGAAGGAAAGAACTACACCATGGTTAAAATGCACTGCCATATATCCGTATAAAAGGGGTACTAAATTACTAGGGCATCAGTGTGCTTATATAACAAAACTGATACTAAGCTTGAATCTTCATTTTTATTTTTTGAAAGCCATGGCTTCTATGGTTGCCACAGGCCTAAGCTAGATATCATTTTTTAGCCTTGTGGTTTTCCTGTTGATAAATTAAGGAAACACTTCTGTAACATATTTTCTCATTTATAATCTGCCTCCTGGAGCCTGGATGCCACTATCACAGAGTTCTGTACCCCCTGTGGTCCTATCAAATTAAATTCTGAGAAAACCTTTGGCAATTATTTTCTCTAATAAAAGTTCTGAAAAATATAGCTCTGTGTTCGTAAACATTATTGGCTGTCTGATAGACTCATTCCATTGTATATTTCCTTTTCTCAGTCAGGATAAATATATAAACTAAATAAGTATCTGTTAGTTCTTTCCATAAGCACAGTTTAGTGTTTTTTTTTCTCCATTCTCTTTACTTGGAGTACTTGTGTATGTTTGTCTTACTCATGTTATCATAGCTGTTTTTCCTTTTTATTTACATTTTATTTTCTCAAATATGCAGATGAGTATAAATTGTCAAATATTTCTACAAAGCTTACTTTATGAAAATGTCCCCTTTCCCCATGCTTCCTTGCATGCTCTCTCCCCTCTGTCTCCCAAAGACAAATACTTCACTTCTTTTAACCTTTTTAATTGTCACCTACTGTATATATTCATCTCTCAGTCTCTCAATAGTGTGTTTAAGACTTAAATTTATATTTCAGTTTTATCTATTATATCGACTTACTACTATGGGAGATAAAGATTTAATTTTCTTTCACAATTCTCCATGTACACTAAACCCTGGCTTTTTCCCTTTTCTCTTTTTTCCTATAGAATGACGCCAATTTTGTGTTAAAAAGTCCTTGTTTATATTATTATGATTGTGTAAATATTATTCACATCCTATGACAGTTACATGTCTTTCTTGAAAAATGTTTTGCTCCCTTTGAAGCTAATAATTTTCTCATTTTATAAATTTCTGTGTATCTAGAAACTCTTCAATTGCTAACTCTCTGATCTCACGGTAAATGTTCTCTCAATACATATATGGTATTTCCATTATTTTTATCTTCTCAGAGACCTCCCTCCCCAAGTCTTCTGACCCCCCCATCCCTAGCCTCACTAGATCTGCTGAGGGTGTGGCCTCTTAGCCTTGTCCTCGGATGAGAGTGCATACTTAAGAATGAAATATGGGCAGAATTTATTGACTTATGGATTTTAACATAGGTGAGTTTTTTTTATTGGTAGGCCTCCAGATTTCCCATATATATATATATATATATATTCCATTGACCCTGTCATATTTACTAGAAGTGAATCTTCTATTGCCCTAACTGCTAAAGGGAGGATTCTGGGCGCCAAGAGAGTAAATCATCTGGAGAGTCTCAGCAACTGTAACACCATCCCATTTTAAGTATGAGACTCACCCATCACTGTGTCTGCTGTCTCTCTGCTCAGTGTCCCACTTTATTTTCTGCTGGAGGGATGGACCGAGGGACAGGCACTGTTCCCATTGACTAGGTGAGTGAGGGGCTCAGGAGGAGAGACCCCTTCACAATCAGAATTCCATCACATCCTCCTGACTCTAGCCCCTCCTTTACCCCGACTTTACTAGGCACCTGGTATTGTCAACCCCTATGCCTTTCTAAGTTCTGTGGTACAAATTGTTTTGCTTTCCAGTTTCCTCCATCTGCTGCCTTAGGTTTTGGTCTCCTTGGTCTGTTATATCAGTTGATACTTACTCATCAGCTTTCCAGCTTCTAGAATCTCATTGCCATGGTCTCTTTCATTCTCTTGGCCCCTGTAAATTTATGCTTTTTTTATTCCTTTATTGTCACTTCAGTGAGAAGGGAGGTAAGTACATGTGTACAATCTGCTGCCGTTAACTAGGATACATAATAGTATTAATAGTTGGACTGAATTTTTATTATGAAGTACTTCAAATCATTTTTATTAAGTAAACAGAGTATAACTAAAGAATAAACAAACTGAAGTGAACTTGCCACTTAATTTAAATACCTATTACAAAAATTTTTTCTTCAAGTGTTTTTAATTTAACTTGACTAAGGCTTCTGTTGTTTTCTCTTTTGAATACAGGTGGAAGCTTTAGACAAAACCGATCAAACCTCACCTCTCTACTAGTGCAACCCATCTCAGCATCACTGGTTGCAAAGCTGATCTCTTTCCCGAAAGACAGAACCAAAAATGGGGTCTGTAGCCCCCTAGAACTTCCAAATAATGGTAAAGTATTTAATGTCTTTCTGTGTGTCTTGTAGTTTTTGTTAGGACCATGATCATTTTTAATCTCTTAAATTGACATATTTAAGGTTGTTCTTTAAGAAAAAAAATTATCGTTGATAAGGTAAGCACTTATTTCTCTTCTCTGGCTCTTTAAGGGACATTTTTAAAAGGAATTTTGATAAAGAGTGAGAGTTGACTAAACTGAGCGATTGAAAGAAAAAAGAAACACACGTTGAACTGCAACAAAGAAAAGCAGCTTTACAAGTAAAGCATTTTGTACTTTCATGAAATCTGCTTAACGTAGCTTCCCGGTTTCAGCTTCAGCAGTCTTGTTGCCTGCCAAGATTCAGCTGATAGCAGTCAGCTATCTGGGGTATGAAGTCTTTTAGTAAAAAGCATTAAAGCCTAATTCCTGCAATTGACTAAAAATCCCTCTGTCTTTACGCATCATTGCCCGAGAGATGCTTCTTGTACTGCAGTGTAGTTTGTCAGCCTTGTTGGACCGCAAAGGATGAAACTGAAGTAGTTAAGCTACCTGCAGCGGGGTGCAAGCCACGGGCTGCCTCTTATGTCTGCCTCCAGCCTCAGCATTAGAGCTCTAAAGAGGAGACTTTCTTTACATATGGTTCAATTCGTATCTAGTCGCTGTGAAATTCAACTTCAGGGGCTCTGTTTTTGTGTCTGGACCCAGAGGCTCAAATACCATTGTTTTATCTCACCTGTTCTTCTCTTGACTACAAAAGCATTAAAAAAAAAAAAAAAGGTTTTGAAAAAACCTAAAAAATAAATCTGAATACTTTCAGAATTCCCCTCTAATAGGACCTACTCTTTTCAAAGCCCTATGGGGTGAGAGATTCCTAAGCTGATTATTGATTGAGCAAAGTGGGAAATATAGTAGATAACAACGATAAGCCTGTATCCTCAAAGCAGATTGAAGAGTTAAGCCCTGAAGGAGCTGATTTGTTTGGTTATTTTTGTCCTGTATTCTATGCCCACAAATTTATCACGGGCTCTATTTGTTAAAATATGTACAGAACATTGTAATAATAGTTTGGTAGTAAGGAAAGCACTGGAGATCTAAAACACTAGATTTAAACCCAGATTTAATGAAACAATTAATTCAGTAGTCAGGGCCCCCCATGTGTCCAGCCACCGTCCTGTCCTCAGTGAGCTGACAGTTCCCATATTAGCTCCATGACTGCTCATATACCATCTCCCCATTGGGAACCATCTACAGAAAGATATCTAAACTTCCAGCATCTCAATTTGTCCTGCGAATCGAATTATGATATATCTCTGAGTATACTTTGTGTACTGTAAAATGTTACGCTAAGCAAGTGTCTTCCTTATCAAATAACTATGTCAGTACCCTCCACAATATGTTGAATGCCTGTGTAATAATTGCATAGCTAACCAAAATAGCACTCTCCAGCTTCATCTCTCCAATAATTTAGCAACATGTATGATGCTTAGAAGAAATATTGAGATATATATTGAAGCCTGTTTATAACTCTAGTTTAAAGAAACAACAAGATAGGCCTGCTTTTCAAAGAATTATGCTGTATCAACTTTTTCTCATGGGTGTAGTAATTATTATTGTTTTTAGAAAAATTCAGAGATATAGTTAAATCAAGAAGATATTTCATGTTATCATGGGTCCCTCTGTCATCTTTTTTTAATATAAAGTATTACATGTAGATTTCCCAAATACTGATTGAACAGCATGAGTGAGATGTTAAATCTAAACTAATCTTAATGTAGGATCATGACTCTTTACCCCAGTGTTTTGAACAATAATACTCATGATGCAGCCAAAATAATTAACTCTTAAGTTTTCTCATAAACACGTAAATACGCTAGTTGGTCACTATGGTATATATCAGGATGGGACATGAAAAGGACACAGAATGAGTTGCTTTATTTGGGGACAATAAGTGCAACACTTATGTTGTATGGATTAAAAAAAGCAAAGCATAGCATAATTATATCATAATGTTGCATTTTCTAAATACAGCCCTGAGCTTTAATGTGGAAAAATCTTCACTCAGAAGTGTAGACAGGAGTACGTGAAATATGTGTGCAAATCAACTAATTATTTATCTTACCTATTTAACCATTTATATATACATATATATATATATATATATATATATATATATATATATATATAT